CTGTCACCATTGACATCAGTCACAAGTTTGTGTTACCTGTAATCAGTGACATCAGTCACAAGTTAATGGTACTTGATCCAGTGACATCAGACACTAACCCGCCCATCAAAACAATGTTACAGTTGTTTTTGCTAGTTACCAATTCAGATATGGTTTATTGAGTGTGCTATCTCCATAGCCGACTCCATCGATAGCTTTATTGACACACTTCAGTTCAATCAGAAATATATTCTTTATTGTTATGCTGTGGTGATGTCAGCCCCAAAGAAAGTGAGTCAGCATCATTGAACTGCCCCATCAACAGCATCTGGTTATTGATACCTCTCCTTCCTGGAGACAGGAATGCCTTAAAGTGGTGTGAGGAAAATCTGTGAGGCTATAACGAAGGTGTTATCCTTCCTCTGGCCTACAAAGTAAATTATCTCACAAATAATGTTGCCCTTGTTTTTTCAAGAAATCCTATTTGAAACAAATTCATTATAAAATTATATTTATGTTAAAAACCTGTGACTAGTCAATCCATCCTGAAAGTTATTTTCTGAATAAAACTATTCGTAAGTGTTGTGGGCCTAGTGAATGCATAACTTTTAAAGGGGCTGTCCAACTGGAAGTTAGCAAAGAATCTCATTTAAATGTATATTTTTTAATACAGATGTAAAACTTTTAAAATTGGCTAAGTCAAAAAAAAATTTTTTTTTAAATACATTCCAGTTTTCATTAAGTTCTTAACAGTTTTAGGTGGGAGACTTGAAAATTTAAAATTGGCCATGTCATAAAAAAAAAACATTTTCGTTAAGTTTATGATCTTGCCAATTTGAAAGTTATGCCCATAAAATATAAAAAAAAATGTTCTTGGCTAAACTAAATAGACAAATACCTAATATATAATAGTCCTTATTATTTCTATTAATACATTATATTTTCAGTATGAAATAATTACCTGTATACACATGAATGGTAATTTCACAAATCTATAAGGAACATATTATTGGGCAGCCCTGCATTTAGATTAGCATTTACAATTGTATTCCTACCTTTGAAATCCTTGTTCCTCCCAACTGAAAATTATTTCTAGTTCTAGTATAGTAAATAAAAACCTGTTTCTGCTTTAACTTAACCAAAAGCTCTTGTGGTGCACTAGTGGTGTGATGTCTTTTGTTCAAGCCTGAACATATATTGTTCCACTATTTATTTACTTTGTGCCGCTTGAACACAGTTCCTCATATATTATCCTGTCATTATCTTAGTGGTGGATATGGTCACCAGTCTGGTGTTATCTCATCAATGGTGGATGTGGTGCACTGGCCTGTCATATCTCATCAATGGTGCATGTGATGCACTTGGCTGTTATTATCATCATTGGTGAATATGGTGCACCAGTCTGGTATTATCTCATCAATTGTGGATGTGGTGCACCAGACTGTCATCTCATCAATGGTGCATGTGATGCACTTGGCTGTTATTATCTCATCATTGGTGGATGTGGTGCACTAGCTTGTCATCTCATCAATGGTGGATGCGGTGCACCACCCCATCATTATCTCATCAGTGGTGGTTGTGGTGCCCTAGGCTGTCATTACCTCATCAATGGTGGTTGTGGTGCACTAGGCTGTCATTACCTCATCAATGGTGGTTGTGGTGCACTAGGCTGTCATTACCTCATCAATGGTGGTTGTGGTGCACTAGGCTGTCATTATCTCATCAATCGTGGATGTGGTGCACTAGCCTTCCATGACTTTGAAAATGCAAACTGAATTATTTTTAAACAATTGCTTTAAAATTGTTTTTATATTTTGTAAATTTTTGTATGGTGAGATAATTGGTCAAACTTTGTGTAATTGTGTCCATTTGAAACATAATTTTTTTCTGAAAGAATCTTTTAGCTGGAAAAAAACATTTAGGAGCATTTGTTTATTGACAGGATTAGTTCATACCTGTTTTTATTTTAATTTTTCAAAGAAATCATTTTAATTTTTATTCAGAAACATTCTCAAATCATACACTCTTAAACTTTAAGCCACATAAATACAAGTGTGAATTTTTATTTAAGATCTGGAAAGATGGGGATATAGAAGAACAGACAGCTGACCAACTTTTTTCCTCTGATCCAGACTCCTGTTTTCTTCCTGCACGACTGTTGGAATAGCTGGCACTTTGCTGTCAAAATTATGTTGCAAATATAAATGTGTGATGAAACAAGTGATTGGCTGCTACACAAGTTTTTAATGGTATATGTATTTTTTCTTAAGTCTGAGGTAAAAAAAAAAATGCTATATTAAAATGTGTCCAAATGATACAACAGTATTTTTTTGTATTATGTGTTTCAAAATAGATTTGAGAAATGTAGTCAAAAATGAAATCTTGTTGGAGTTGGCTTTTAACATGTCTGTATTTTTTTAAATTTGTCCTGTGTTTTTTTTTCTGTTTATTTGTCATAGATCTTACAAGTAAAGTTTTAAACACAATATAAAATCCAAATAAACACTTGGCTGCAATGTAGTATCCACAGCTAAGTGTTTAATTTGATTTTGTATTGCTTTTACTGTTGTTTGTTTGCCGAAGACGGCATCTTGTGGAAACACTTGTTTTGTTGTGTCTGGTTTTCAGGTTTTCCCAAACTTTGTATTTGTTCATTTCCTTGCTAAGCAAAAGTCATATATGACAGCATTTAGAAAAAATCTCTACACGTTATATGAGTTTTGTATTCTTAACAGGTCAAAAATCCTAGTTTAAAATCCTTCATGAAATATTTACAAGCAAATGTAAAAAATGACTTGTAACAAAATGAATATTTTTTTAAAATATATGTACCTATGTATATACCGGTATCTTACTAGGATGATTTTGGAAGCTAAAAAAATAAACAAAAAACTACCTAATATTAATATAAAGGTAGTTGGACACATAAATATCTTGTTAGTAGAGCACATGTTACAGCTCATGATGGGACGTGACAAAACAAATGGGGATGTGAAGGGATTTCTATGGAGTCACTGTCTGAAACAATAGACTAAGAGAAGTAGCAATGTTTAAATAGTTTTCTTTTTTAATTAGTGTCTTAAAGTGTGAGTTACAATTTGAATAATGGCATTAAATATGGAGTTTACTACAATTATAATACCAGTACACTGAAAAATTTAGTCTAGATATGTTTTCATGTCCAAATACTTAACCTATTTTAAAACCCATATTTTTCTATGCAACACGTTAAGGGTCACTTTGCTTCTACATAAATCTGGTCCTGACTTGAAAACGCTTGAGAGCCTGTGTACTAGAGCTAAAGAGCTTAATAATTAAATTCAGCTAGATTTTACAGTTCATGGCCCATGGTGACAATTTATGACAATCTGTGGCTTGCTTTTAAATATTATTAAAAAAACAGAATTGTATTCTAAAAGTTTGTATTCGGGATTAGGAAATGGTTCAGATGATCTGATAGCTTGAAAAGGTACTTTTCTGCTATTGCCTTCCCCTTTACAACTATAAAAAAGGATTACAAGTGAAAATTTATTTGTAAGAAACATTTTTAAAACATATACCTTGAAAGTTAGAATTAAGAGCATCTAAACTAAATAAAAGAAGCCTAAATGAGATTTTGGCCTTCTTACTTACAATCATTCTGGGAGTTCAGTACTGGGTGAAGGGATGGGGGCTATAGAGACCGTCAAATTGGTAAATTGTTCATTTATTAAGGTATAACTGGTGTGGGGGAGGGGGGTCTAAGCAGTCTAAAATGAGTCAATCCCAAACTTGGAATGAAGTTCAAACCCCAGAAAAGCCTAGAAAAGCAAAAACACCACCAACCGGTGGATGGGACTTGTTTACCTTTGTCTTGGTTGGCAACTCATCTAAGAGAAGGGAAAACTCTTAATTCAAACACGGGGATGATGACCCCTAAGCGGTATGACTTTGAAATGAAAATTGTTGCACTACCGGTGCCAAGTTTTATCACCCACACATGATGATATTCCATTGGGTTGTGCAGGTGCGTGGAGAGAAGTGATTTGCTGTGCTGTCTAGGGAACCAGCTTATCCTCCTAAAGAAAAAATCCCAGGCCTTGTGATTTCGTCCTGCTAAGCAGGGACGTCGTTTCAGTGTTTTTTTCAGAAAGGGCGGGGGGAGGGGGGGGGGGGCAAAACCAAACCTTGATCAGATTTTAAAGTTGCTCGCTACTGAAGGCCTCACACTACAAAGCAATTTAAATAAAACCTGCAATAGCCCCACCCTGCCCTACCCAAAAATTGTTTTTTTCAGAAAGGGCGGGGGGAGGGGGGGGGGGGCAAAACCAAACCTTGATCAGATTGTAAAGTTGCTCACTACTGAAGGCCTCACAGTACATAGCAATTTAAATAAAACCTGCAAATGCCCCACCCTGCCCTACCCAAAAAGACGTCCCTGCTGCAAAGACTACACTCTACAGTACACCATTGTCACATTGTGATGTATGGATGCAAGAAAAATAAAATATCTAATTTCATATGAAAAAAATACTGAATATTTTCATGAAAAGTCATTTTTTTACAAATTTCGTCTAAGATAATAAAGTTAAGATCATGCACTAAAACTAAATAAAGGATTATTCAATTTATTCTGAATAATTATAATCTTCAATCTCGACAGAGAGAGGACATGAAATCTAAGACAACTAATTGAATTTTTAAGGAAATGATGTAAAATGTTTGATTAATTTATCGACAATTTTTTTTTCCCTTTTTCTTAAAAAAAAAAAAAGAAAGAAATGAAGTATTTTGTAAATAAAAAATGTGTAAAAAAATTAAGAAATTTTATAAACGGTGTTATTTTAAATTATAAGCACATTAATTAAATAACATTCACCAGGCATTTATTCTAGTGACCACCATAAAAATTACTAATCCTTTATTATTTACATTAAATAAGTATAGTTATATATACAAATTTTTTTGTTTGCGATATTTTAACTCTTCTATAAATTAATATTTGTGGTGTAAAAATAAAAAGTACATTAATTTTAAAAGTCACCTAATTCAAAATGGCCGCCTACAATCCGGCGGTGCTTTTAATAATTGTTTTTCAGACAGTATTTTAAACTACATCCCACTGATTTGAATTTGAATGGTTATAGCTCAGACTTCTTAAGTTTAAAGAAAATTGTCTTGCAATAAGGTAACATTTAATACAATTTTTGTTTAGTGTATACTTTAATCCAAAAATAAATAATTTAAGGCTTGACTTAGACGTATATTTATATGTAGTGCCTACTTACTACTACTTTAAGTTAATAAGTAACTTTAGGTACTTCGGTAAGTCAAGGGAGACTACTACTTTTTGTGTATGGGATTTCGCAATCGGCGCCAAAAAATCCGAGTTTTTAATTTTCCGATGTGTGTGTCTATTTATTATTAAATTAGTACTTTCGATATGTATTTGAGTTCCGTTTTCGGCCTTATAATTAGGTAGACATCTTGGCCTACATTTTAATCAATTTCTTTTTCATTTACAATCAGTCAGCTTTGAGAAAATCCTTGGTAAATATAAGGCAACTTTCATCATTAAAATTAAGTCGAAGGAAAAAATTTGTCACTACCAAATTTTTTTTGCATCTGGGGAATCTATTGATCTACATGTATGCCAATTTTCACAGCGATAAGTGTCTTACGAGTGACGCTATGTTTCGGCGCGTTCGCAGCAGGTCATGCAGCTCGCTCAACCTAATTTCGTCATGGGGTGGGCCACGCCCCCTTTGTAATGGCGGAAGTTGCCGATACTTAGGAAATATTAATTTATTACCACTATCTACATCAAAATAATTGATAACTTGTGTTTCAGAATGCATTTTGAAGACATTTAAACTGGAATGTTTTAATTTGAGCTTTAACAACCCGGTAGAATCCATATTATAAATGATCAGAATTTACCGTGTGCAACACGTTGTCATTGGCAACCATTCACAGCCACTTGCATAACGGCTGTATCGTAGTACTACCTCAGAGTTTCATTCATAAGAGTTTGCCGTGTGCAAAAACTACTATACCATTGGTCAGGGAAAGCTTTAATTAATTATTCATGTGCCAAAGTTGAAAGTTTAAACTAAGTCGACCCTAAACAGTATTTTAGTGATAAGGCGATGCGTTGCCTTATATAAAGTATATAGTCATTGCGCATGACGCGATCAGCGGAATGAGGTCACAAGATGTGGAGGTTTCGTCCATAGTAAAAAATACCAAACGAACTCACACTTTAAAAATTCATAGCTCAAAAAGTACTTAAGCTAAAAAGTTGATTCTGGTTTCATTTTTTTATTTGAAATTAGCTCTAACTAACTGTGCTATTAAAAAAATTATTTGAATTTTTTAAAATTTTGTATCCAAGTGCCTAGTAACTTTATTCAAGGTACTTTATTATAAAAAAAAAAAAAAAAATTGAATTAATTTTTTGGGTAATTTACCACTTGAGCGTCGGCCAAGAAAAATCAAGCTGTTCCGGTTGGAAAGGCTATTTAAACAACTATTCTTATACTTATATTATTTTTAATGACATTGGTCATTGGTTGTACTTATTCATTTCCATAATAATAGACAATTTTTTTTTTTTTAATAGAAAAACTATAACAATTTTTTTGAAATAGAAGATAATGTGTGAATATGGAATTATGCATAGTTCTCCCCCAAGTTGACAATGAAGTTTTAAAAAATACAATTTCTACGAAATTGGTTGTGGTACATGAATCCACGTAAATATGAAGGGGAAATATCACCGGCGCTTCTTGTGCCAAACTGTCTTTTCAGTTTACGCTTTCTGAGTATTCACGTTTTCCACATTCTGTGTGTGGACAACCGCGTCATCTGGATCCAAAAAAAAGTAATAATTGTTGTCTCCTTTTCTTCCTGGCATATCGGTAGCTTGGCAGTAATAATTATTTAAATGTATAAGTATTGTGCCATATAACTTTATAGCCTATACGAAAGCAAAAATATTAACAGACTCCAATGTAAGAATAGTTGTTTAAATAGCCCTTCCAACCGGAACAGCTGGATTTTTTCTTTGCCGACGCTCAAGTGGTAAATTACCATTTATTTAATAATACAGTTAGTTAGAGCAAATTTCAAATAAAAAAAATGAAAACAGAATCAACTTTTTAGCTTAAGTACTTTTTGAGCTATGAATTTTAAAAGTTAAAAATGTGAGTTCGTTTGGTATTTTTTACTATGGACGAAACCTCCACATCTTGTGACTTCATTCCGCTGATCGCGTCATGCGCAATGACTATATACTTTATATAAAGCAACGCATCGCCTTATCACTAAAATACTGTATAGGGTCGACTTAGTTTAAACTTTCAAGTTTGGCACATGAATAATTAATTAAAGCTTTCCTTGACCAATCAATGGTTTAATAGTTTTTGCACACGGCAAACTCTTATGAATGAAACTCTGAGGTAGTACTACGATACAGCCATTATGCAAGTGGCTGTGAATGGTTGCCAATGACAACGTGTTGCACATAGTAAATTCTGATCATTTATAATATGGACTCTACCGGGTTGTTAAAGCTCAAATTAAAACATTCCAGTTTAAATGTCTTCAAAATGCATTCTGAAACACAAGTTATCAAATATTTTGATGTAAATAGTGGTAATAAATTAATATTTCCTAAGTATCGGCAACCTCCGCTATTAAAAAGGGGGCGTGGCCCACCCCATGGCGAAATCAGGTTGAGCGAACTGCATGATCTGCTGCGAACCTGTAGAAACATGGTGTCTCTCGTAAAACACATATCGCTGTGAAAATTGGCGTACATGTAGATCAATACATTCCCCAGATGCAAAAAAAATTTGGTAGTGACAAGTCTTTTACTTCGACTTAATTTTAATGATGAAAGTTGCCCTATATTTACCAAGGATTTTCTCAAAGCTGACCGATTGTAAATGAAAGAGAAATTGATTAAAATATAGGCCAAGATGTCCTCTAAATCGAAAGGCGAAGAGGAACACAATTCTGGGATATAGTAATTATTTTATGAATGAAATAGTTCCACTATCAAAAAATTAAAAACTCAGATTTTCGCGCTCCGACGCCTATATCCCCATACAAATTTTTAGTAGTCTCCCTTGCTTCATCCAGGTACCTACTTTATTTGCATTTATCATTGTACATTATTAATTGGCACTAACTGTGTAACGGTACAAGACATCCCATACTCTGTAAGTTGATGATTTCTTTTTTTTGTAATTATATTAATACTAAAATAATTCTTATTAATTGTAATAGTACCGGTACTGTATTGAGTGTTGTATTTTTACTATTGTTTTTCTCTATGGTATCGTCCTTTGTTATGCACTGTTTGAAGGAGCCATAAAATTAAAATAAGAGATTAATTTCTCACGATAGAAGGCAGTGCGTAACAAAATATATAAAAAATACCTATATACCGCAAAAGAGCAAAAAAATACAGAATTATATATATACAAGTAAAACATCTGTGATACAGTGGGACCACGAAAATCAGCCCGTGATAGACAAGGAATCACTGTGAATAGTTGATTATAGTTAATAGGGCCAACTTTAAGTCTCGATCAGAATTGAATACAAATTAATTATATCAGACGTTAGGGCCCTAATCATTACTCATATTAGCCTAGGTACTTGAGTAAAGTAAAAATGGAACTCAAGATATTAAAAATATAAATAGTACCGGTTGTACTGTAGGTTATAGTCATAGCACTGATTAATAATGGCCTTGTTAAACTAACTTTAAATTTTTTTAAAATGAAATCAAAATCAACTTTCTAGACCAATTTTAATACATAATAGTCCTTTTATGAATGAAATACCACAACCATCACATAGAAATGTTTTTTAAAAAACTCATATTTTTCTGTGCCCACTCCCATTTCAGAGACAAATTTATACAATTTTGAGTAGTCTCCCTTGCTTTACCGAAGTAGATAATAATTGAAGAAGGACTGCAACGTTTACATCTTATTCAACATGCCTTGTTTTACTATTTCATTTACCAAAGTACCCATTTAATATATAATATATAGATGAGTTCAGTATGAGACCAATCATCACCAGTGTTTTCAGTTTTACTGATTAGGATTTATTATTAGAATACTTAGTTTTGCTAGTTGCTGTTGCATTAATTTAAAAGGCCATGGTGCATTTTATTCAGAGTTTTTAAAAAATGTTATTACATTTTTTATTCAAATAATTTCCAGGTCTGCAGATTGACTCATCTTTATTTTTGTCAGACATCCAATTGGTACAAAAATGAATACAGACTCTGAAGGATTCACTGACCTGCTTCAACAAGCAGAGCAGTTGACCGCTGATATGGATTCAGGAACAGATCTTCCTCATGTTGAAAGAAATCTTCAACAAATCCTAGAAGCAGGCCAGCGCCTCTTGTCCCGGACAACACCAGCCAGTCAGGACAGCACTGATGTCCAAGCGTATGTACCAGTCTTGGATTGGTTAAAATTAAATGATAGATTGTTATTATTTTTAATCCACCAGCTGCGGCTACTTCTTTCGATTTTAAATCTATTTACAAGGAAAGGGTTTAATAGCAAATTTTTTTATTGCTTTCTGTAATTCCCTGAACTACATATTCTATTCATTCCATTATCCATAGGTCTATCCTGCTAGGAAGCAAAGGATTTGTTTTACCTAAGATTTCAGAACGTTTAGAAGGTTTGAGGGCAGCCACAACTTTTGAACCACTAGAGCCAGTGAGAGAGACAGATATAGAGGTAAATTGTATTATTTTTGTTAAACTGGCCCCCAATTTGTACCATTTGTTTCTAGCATACCATTTCAGTTTTTTTAAAATTAAAAATGTCTTGTTCAATATGAGTAGCTATTAAAAATACAATAATTGTGTTCTTTTTTAAGTTAAGTTCTAAAAATAACTAATTTATTTGTTATAGGGCTTTTTGAGGAATGAACGAGAGAATGCCTTATTAGCAGTCATTGAACAAACAAGAAAAAATGTACGTATATTATTTAAATCAAGAAAGAATCCATTTAACATGAATGTCCAAAATACTGAATTTAAGTATATCACCCAGTGTAAACAATAAGAAGGGTGGCCTGTTGGATACTGAAAAGCAATTATTTAATTATTTTTAATTAGTCTAGTGTTTAAATATATTTTATTGCAGTTTTATGTTGCAGAAATGTTTTATTTAATTTTTTTTCTGAGAGTTATGTTTGTATTTATGTCCATAGTATTTTTTCTCTTTATTTACTCCAGACTTTTGAAGAGGTAGACAAGAGACATTGGGAATGTATGGAGAATGAGTGGGAGAGAGAGAAACAAAAGATTCTCAACTCCCTTCTAGGCTCAAGTCAGGAGCCATTTGAGTTGCAACAAGATCCTGAGGTACAAGAATGTGCTTTGTTAAATTTAGTCATGTAACATACTTTTAATGTTTCATTTTAACATTGGTCAGTGTGTTTTTATTCTCTTATTATTACTTTCCTGCTTTCAAAATGTAAAATAATAATAATAAAGTTTATTTGAAAATAACACTTCATCCCCAAAGGCTCGAAGCGCGGTACAAAGTCTAGTATATTAAAAGAGAAATGAAACAACCTATAATATACCACATTGAAATGCAAAATTGCAAAAACTATATACGAGAATAGCCATTCTAAGTCTTTCATACCTAGCAACCATAAATAACACAGGCCAATACACATCCACAACTTAATATCTGGATAGACAACATCATCCCAGCAGGTGTTAGCGAAATAGTTATGTCTTCAGATCTGTTTTGAAAGACTCCAGTGACTGGCTGTTTCTAAGAGTAACAGGAAGAGTGTTCCAAATTGTTGGGCCAGCAAATGCGAAAGAACGCCCCCGTAAGTCTCAAGGCCAACATGTGGTATCGAGAGTTTTGCCACTACCAGATGAGCGAAGTGGTCTAGTAGGTACATAGGGCGTCGGCAGCTCTTTGAGATAGGATGGTGCCAGGTCATGCAAGCAGCGGTAGCACAGGGTTGCAATTTTGTACTCTATGCGAGCGCGGACCGGCAGCCAATGCAACTCTCTCGGAAGTGTTTTAGTTACTGTTTATAATTTTGTTTCAAATATTAATGAATAACTTTTTCTGTTGCTTTTGTTTTGTTCAGATGCTGATATCAACCACCCAACTTAGCCAAGGCAGGAGTAGTCTTGACCACATGGAAATGGCCTATGCCAGGCAGGTTAGACAGCAGATTATTTCCATATGTGGATTAAAGATAGGAATGATAAAGTTGATAGCATCTGCTCTGTGTATTTGTACTTGTGAATTTTGTTTGACATTGAAGGCTATCCACATGATATTTTGTCAGGTTCTTGTGTACAATGAGAGTGTCATTGAGAATGAGATTCGTCCCAGTCTGGTTGATATGTTTGTAGAGGTGGCCAATCATTTTGGAGATCAGGTAAGTTGCTTAGTAGTGTGATCAATTCTTTCCCAAATTGTTATTCTGATAATTTTAGATGCTCCTGGTTGTCTTTCATTTTGTATGCCATATCCCTTATTGTTACTCTACCAATTTAGTTTTTGGGAGTTATTCTCCTAATAGTATTTCATCTGTATGCCATATCCCCTTACTGTAATTCTGCCAATATAGTCATTGGGAGTTATTCTCCTAAAAGATTTCATTTTATATGCCATATCCCTTATTGTTATCTGCTAATATAGTTGCATTGAGTTATTCTCCTAATAGTCTTTCATTTTGTATGCCATATCCCTTGTTGTTCGTTAATGTATTCACTGGGCGTTATTCCCCTAATGGCCTTTTATTTTGTATTTCATATCCCTTGTACTTCTCTTTCTTCTTATCCTATAACCCCAGTGAGAGAGTGTTATGAATCATATCAGATCATTCCAATACTTCTCTCCATTTACCTGTTGTCTGGTAGAAGCTCACTGTCATATTTTGTTGGCTGTTAGTTTTTCTCCTGGCTCTTCATTCCTAGTTCTGTTTAACTCCAGCCCATCATAACTTTTTTCAGCACAGCCTTCTGTTATGACCTTGCCATGAACTGTATTTTTAACTATTAATTTGGATATTTTACACCCTTGGTGTCAATGCTGGCCCCTTCATCTTTCTTTGACATTACCTTATAGTAAAAACAATTGCAGAACAGGAGGTCCAAGATCAATACTTATAACATAGCATGCTCCAGAATCTCTGTGTTGAGTCTTTTGGAGTCCAATCATTGATGTGTTTCATGTCTCACTACCAACAAGGAGTTTACAGAACACCCATACCTGATAGTTAAGTCCTCACATTGAGGTGTTCCATGTCTCACATACCGGTTGCTAAGAGACACACTGTTTAGTTCTCACCCTTAGTTCCAAACTCTCTTGTTCATTCTGTTGATCCTGCTGTTTTAATGCCACAACAATTAATATTTGTTTGGGGTGCCCACTTCATAAATTTCTGGCCAGTGTTTGTTAAACTCTGGTCGCCTATGGAGACATTTACAAAATAACACCTTACAACTTGATGACCAGTTGTCACAAAATTTCAACAGAACTCTAACACTATTGAAAGCAAAAATACATAACGGGCCTTTGTATGATGTGCTAATGACTTTTAATTCATTGGACAATTTACCTTCTCATGTCTTTTAACTTAATTTTACAACTTGAATAGATCATGCATTTTCAGATTAAAAAATTAGTACTCACATTCCAAAAAAAAAATTTAATATTTTTTTGTAGTAATGCAATGTGGTTTGTTATAAGTAATGAGATGTCGGTATGTTTTGGAATGTTTTTTGATAGCTTGTTCATGAAATTGTGTAGGGTGGAAGAATCACATTTTAGGCTATGGGAAATGCCTGGCGTGGGAATTACGGGAAATCCAAGAAAAGTGTTTGGGATGTAAAAAGTTTAATGAGATGGTGCATGTTGTTTGTGCTCCTCTGGAATTCACTGAGACACAACTTACACATCATTAGTCAGACTATGGACACACCAAGGTGTAGCCCTGCCCAGGGACCTGCTACTTCATGCCCAATAAGACACATGTCTGCTCTAACAATAGGGTAATCGCCCTTGATGTTGATTTTCCCAGCCTGCTCTCAAAGATCCTTATGTTGCCAACTTGGTGCCTCTGCTAGTAAATTTTAATTCAACATTTCTTAATTTAGTTTTTTTAGGGGGTAATTGATAGGAAGTAACAAAATACAGGCCAGAGTCTCACTAAATCACTTGTTTTGTCTCAGAATGTTATAGATCTCTGGCAGCTTGTTCAGTGTATGACAGAAATACCACCTGGCCAGATTTTTGGCAGTCAGCCATCTGCAATAAGATCCAACCTCCAAATCCAGTCACATTTTGTAGCTAAAGCACTGCAGTACTTGCAGCAAAAGTATGTTTTTATTTTGTTGTTGATGAACAAATATCCTCATTAATTGACTGATTTATTCTCTTTTGTAACTTATATAAAACTTGAAACTAGATTTCTATATTGTCCACACTTGAAATGACAGAAATCCAAAAAGGGTTTACTTTTTAAAAATAGTTTTTAAAGTAAAAATACAGAGTAAGATGGAGAACAAAACCTATAGAAGAAACAGTTCAAATTTTATTGTTATTTAATTTTGCAATATAATATACAAAAGCACCAAAAAAAAGAATTTAACAAATACAACCATTAGGTTTTTATAATATTTTTTTTTTTTGTGAAGCATGCGAAAATGGCAGTTTGTATGGTTAAATTTAGACAGGTGAACATTTTATTAAGAATTATTCAAATCCAAATTTTTAATCCTTTATTTTATATTTAAATGCTCGTATTTAATACAAATACATTTAATACATTCATTATAGAAACAAATTTAAATAATTTGCGTTTTAGATTGTTGAAATTTTAATAAAAATAAAATAAATAAAAAATTAAATAATAATAAAGCTAGAGCTTAAACAAAATCAGGCCTAAACAAATACAAACAGCCTAAGAGTCTTCTACGCTTAGGGGATGTTCTAACAATACATGAGTTAATCAAGCTTAAACTAATACAACCTGAGTGTAAGAGTCTTCTAAGCTTAGGGAATGTTCTAACAATACATTGATTAAATCTGGCCTAAAAAAATCAATCACATTCTAAGACTCTTTTAAGCTTAGGAATGTTCTAACAATAAAAAATTATTTTTATTTAAAATGTTAATAACGTTTTAAGCATTTAATAACAGTTACAGTCTGACGCTCATTCTTTTCATATCAGTAACATCTGGGCCTTGAAGTAGGCTCATGTACTACTATTAATAGACATACACACAAAGACTACAATCTATATTAAGTTTCGTAAATGTGTAGGAAAATTAGCAAAAATCTCTCTTCCGGCTAGGAAAGCTGTCAGCTTATTTATAGGGAGAAAGTTGGAACCCTCCAGAAAAGAAATTCTAGAAATTGCTTGGCCAATAGAATTTTTTTGAACAAATAAACCATTAACAGCCTTTTTCCAAGCAAGGGAGTGGTGTTTTTTGGTATAGCACTACACATTTAATCAGTGATATTAGAATCAAAACAAAAATAAGGGGGTGACAAAAGTAAAATTAGGTCAACACACATGCTATAACATCAGGCTCACCACCTGCCAAAAGAATATCTGCTTTACTTGGCCAACACTTTGATTGTACTGGCTATTAACCTTAAGCTGGTGATAACTCAGCCAGGCAGGCAATGTTGCCATTTCACCACTAGGCCTGAAATTTAGTCTCATATAAATCCTAATTGATTGCATTGAATTAAACAGTTACGTTTTAAGTGCTGGAAGTCTCATCCTACAATTATTGTAGGTTAGCTGTACATGTAATAATTAGTTATTTAGAATTTATTGGTGGGGCGGGGGATTATTTCTAACCTATACTTACTGTTTATTGGTTTTGATTTTAATCTTATAATAGATTTTTAGGGGTGTGTTGGATATCTTTTAACTTTTTATAAAGTGTTAAAAGCAAGCAGAATTCACATTACTTATCAACTGCTTGATAGCCATGGCAACTGCATGATTACCCAATTACTACTTCATCTCCTATTGCTTGCACTGAAATGTATGATTTCTTCAGAATTATGACCACCTTGTACACTTTCAGTTACATTCGTTACCTTGAGACCACTGTAAGCTCCAACCTGAGACAGGCACAGCTAGGTGGCATCCCTGGGACGTTCAGCTTGGTTCTGAGTTATCTTAAAGTGAAGCCTCCCATCACCACCCGCTCCTCTGAGGTATGCTTAAAGATTTGTGTTGGTGGCTGTGTGGGGCCCCACGTTACATTAATAGTTAAAGTGTGTTTTACCTAGAGAACACAGGTTGTTATATTTTCTTTGTTTGCACCTAGTGGTGAAGAAGCTTTTCACACAGTCTTTCAATTTATGTCTGTCCCTGTTTATATTATAATAAGCTCATTCCTCTTCTATCCATTTCACTCACTGTAGAGGTCCATGGGCTTCCTCTCATTTTATTTCTCACTGTCGAAGTCCCTGGTCTTTCCTTTGTTTTATTTCTCACTGTCAAGGTCCACTGTCTTCCCCTCGTTTTATTGAATCAGACCTGTTTACTCTTACGATTTTGGCTTACAATGTACCATTTTGAGATGTCTTTTACGATTGTACGCCGAGACCCGTCACAACTGTGATTTTAAGGGACAGGGTTGATAATATATACATTATGGTAGTTTTTTCTTATTAAAAATTAATTGAAAAGTACATTTTCGGTTATTAGTTTTAACTTGCATTTGCATTCTACATCCAGCAGTGAATGGATCGAGAAATACGATGTGTTGTTGGTTTAGAAGATTTTGTGTTAGTGGGTGGGGTCTAAATATGTAAGTATCTAAAATTAACACCGTTACATTTTCGTATGATAGTGTGTGGGGAGGGGGTTGTCTCGGCAGTAAGTACGTAAGATATTCAAAAATTCTCCAATATTCATCCTGAAAGTCCAAACATAGCATACTTATGGCAATGTTTTGTAGGAATTATTGCCTAGTATTTTCACAAATGAATTCGCTAGATACACTCAAATACTCTGTAGTAGAGGTATTACAGTAATATTTAGTCCACTGTCTTCGACTGCTTGTGACTTATATTTTGTTGGACTAAGCCAGTGGTTCTAAACTTTTTGCTTCCTGGTGCCTATGCCAAATTTATGGGTTCACCTGACTCTTTGTGTTAAATTCTAACAAGTGCACTTCGAAATAGCGCATACATAAACAAATTAAATAAAGGGTTGGGTAGAAATAAATAAAACACCTATGTAGGTCACTAAGCTGTAACTTCAAACTTCAATTACTCAAGTGGGTTACTGTTCGCACCATGACCGAAAGATGTCACATTGGATTAAAAGTGGAAATAAACTAATGAAAATTGTGTAATATTTTGCAACATTACTGTGAGGAAGCCACAGCAACTCATTTGGAAAAATGTGCACCCCCAAGGGCGGACTAGTAAAGGGAATATTTTTAGCACCCCTTGTCTTTGTGAAGTAAATGGGATTTAATAGTTAAATTCACTATTAAGGTCATTTCTAAAGACGAGTTTGGTGCCCCCTGATTTTGGCACCTGTTGCTCCTAGTCTCATGGCCATGCCAGTGCTGTATGACACAATTTTATGACCATTATTTCTTACGGCTGGCGAGTGCAGAAACGGAAAAAACTAGAGAATGCATTCTCAACTATTTCGCGCAGCAATTTTAGATTTCGACATGTTATAGGATCTGAGGGGGCCTTGAAATCTATTTTAGATCACGCTAAACAGCTGTATGATTTTTTAATGCCCCCTCTTCATTTCCCCAATTACAACTTGTTGTGGTTATGAGACTGTAATGTTTTAACAGGAAATACGCATAATGGATATTGATTCTTATTTATTTATTTTTTAAAACATATTCCTGAAAAATAAATCTCAATTTACTTGGTAGTTTTTTTTTCCATTGACACCCTAATTTATTAATTATTTCTTATCTTAATAAATTTGATTTTATGCTGATCTGACTTCGAGTTTGAACAACATTAAATTTCACCAGTAACTTTATTGACAGACTTGATAATGTGACCTGCACATTCACCTAGTTATTAATTAATATTTATAGCTAATACACGTCTGCAAAACAAAGTGACATCATATTGCAATATAAACGTCAGTGATCTACTTTTAGAAGTTACCTTTTTTGACATCAGCTTAATTTAACTCAATTCCACTAGACAAGCGATGCAAGTAGTTATCAGCTATTGTATACATTATATTTACGGTATGTTTATTTATATATTATTAAGGTACTGTATTGTACGCTTTTGAGACGATATAGTACAATTTTTGGAGTTCGAGGGTTAACAGGTCTGTTCAATCCATTTTTTTCCTCTCTTCACCTCCTGCTCAACAGCATCACATTCTTGGCTGTGCCAAATGATTTCTTTTAAGATATTTAGTTTTAGATTCTTACACAAACATTGATGAAAACCATTAATCTCTTGAAAATGAGTCAGGTAGTTTTCCATAGATACAGATACCTAAGATCACCTCAATCAGGGCAAATTCTTTCTCATAAAGTGAGAACCGAAAGATATCAAAATTCTTTTGCTCCCCAGTTTGTACAAATTTGCCAGCGTGCATCCCCAGCAGTTACCAAATGTAAATGATCACTGATTAAGTCATTATTATCTCTAAAAGAGTTAATTTATCATTGATTTCTACGCTAGATGAAATACTTTAGATGTCTTGTGTTTAAATTGTTTTAACTGTAAAATATTTTCTTGGTTAAGAATATGTATTTATTTATGTGCTGGAAACATTTCCACCTATAGGAGCAAAATGTAATGAAATAATGATAAAAACTAAGCTGGCTTTGTAATAGTTGAAACCAAGTTTGGGCGTAAAAAGTTTTCATTGTCAAATAGCTTAGTCATTCCTGTACACAACAATTTTTACAATTCTTAGTGTAATATTTGTTACTCATGGGGTCAATTGTTTTGTTTTTTTTAATTGACCAACAGGATGGAGAACTTGAACAACAACCAGTCTGGACTCTTCTCTTTTACTGCCTGAGATGTGGAGACCTTAAAGCTGCTATGCATGTTATAGAGCGAGCTGGGTATGTTGTCTTACAAGCTCTTCACTTTTTAAACCAGTAGGCTTATGAAAGTAATGTAGAAAAAAATGTAAAGAGGTCAAATTTAATATTAAAATTCTACCAGCTTATTCATTATACAAAATTAAACTTTTTGTTTTTATATCGTATTTAACCGAAAGGAGATGAAATCATTATCAAATTTCAACAACAAAAAATCTCTAACATCTTCATTTAACTAACTCAATTCATTGTAATGGGTTCTAACCAATTTTAACCAATTTCATCGTGTTATGTTATCTTTGAATTGCCCTTGTTCAGTAACTTTCAACTTTTTTTTTTTTTTTATCTCATTAGAAATAATTAATTAAATTCTGCTGCACATGATTTGAGCTTTAAAAAAATACAAGCTTTTTTCTGTGAGAAAGATTTTCCCAGGAAATTAAAATAAGATAGTATTTTGTCCATCTCATTTTTCTTAGATTTTAAAAATGTATGTGAGTGTCTCAGGACACACCTGTTAACTTAGCAACACAAGGGAAGAAAACAGTTGCTCTGGGTTTTGGTTGAACTTCATTGTTGCACATTGTACACAACTTAAAGAACATGACTCTATGCACACAACTCTATGTATGTGACTCTATGCACACAACTCTATGCATGTGACACTATGCACACAACTCTATGTATGTGACTCTATGAACACAACTCTATGTATGTGACTCTATGCACACAACTCTATGTATGTGACTCTATGCACACAACTCTATGCATGTGACTCTATGCACACAACTCTATGTATGTGACTCTATGCACACAACTCTATGTATGTGACTCTATGCACACAACTCTATGTATGTGACTCTATGCACACAACTCTATGTATGTGACTCTATGCACACAACTCTATGCATGTGACTCTATGCACACAACTCTATGCATGTGACTCTATACACACAACTCTATGTATGTGACTCTATTTTATGTGACTCCATGCATTTGCCCACAGTAACCAGCTGGGAGAATTCCCTACATTCTTCAAAGAGTACGTGAACTCACCTGACCATAAACTGGGGCCTGGAAATGACTCAAAAATAAAGCTTCACTACAGAAGAGTGGTCAAAAATTGTTCTGACCCTTACAAGCGGTAAGTTAACCCAAAAAAAACAACAACAAAAAACATGGGTCAACCAAAAACCTGTGTTTATTTTAAAGACCCTGGTCATTTTTTTAGTAATTTTTTAGCCTTGTCAAATCCATCATCACAGCATGAATTATTAGAATTACAATGTGCTTAAGTTTCTACTGGTTTAGAACCTGCCTTGGAAAACTGACTTAGTAATAAAAAAAAATGTTTTATCATATCTTTTAATAAAAATGATATAAATTTTTACCTAGTGATATTCTAGCGACCTGGCATTGATAAATGAGCGTACTCTGTTACCTTGCAGTGCAGTGTTCTGTGTTGTTGGGCGGTGTGACTGGACTGAGGACCATGCAGAGATCCTAGACAAAATTGATGACTACCTGTGGATGAAGCTATCACACGTCCAGGATCAGGTGTCTGGAGATAGCAGCCAGGACCACCTGACACTAACTCGTTTGCAGAGGATACTTTATGAAGAATATGGTAAGCTTTATTTAAAACTTACTGTTGCAAAACTGACCTGGTTTACATCCATTCAGAGCAAAGTCCTTACCTGGTGCACTTCACTTTAGTACCCAGCCCTTTACTGCTGCACTTTCCTTCAGTACCAAGGTCTAACCATGTGTACTTTTCCTCAGCACCAAGGCGGACCTGTTTACCCCTACACTTTCGCCATAGTAACTACATTTTTAAGCCTAAGACTACGGCACTACGACGAGCCTTAAAAAAAACTACAGTTTCAGGAGTTTTTTTGTATGTTTGGTTCAATTTTAATTTTTTTAAATAATCCTGGAGTGCTGAAAACTACACTAACCCAGGGGTAAACAGGTCTGTCTGCCAAAACCTTACCTGTGGCACTAAAAATTGGACAATTGGCTAAAGGGGGAAAATGTACACTTACTCTGATTTTCTAGACTACCAACTGATTAAAGTCTGATTAATTGCTGCTTTAAACTTCATTTAAAGATTACTTATGGATAATATATTTCTGAGAATACATTAGTTGTGAATTTCACCTCAATCAACCATTTTGTGTACACCCTTTTCCCAGGTGAAGCCCATTTTAATGGATACCAGCAGCCATTTCTCTACTTTCAAGTTCTCTTCCTCACGTGTCAGTTTGAGGCGGCCATAGAGTTCCTTAGTCGGATTGAACGCCTTCGTTACCATGCCGTGCACATCGCCCTGGTCTTGTATGAGATGAGGCTGCTGGTGACCCCCTCCAGCTGCCAAGCACAACTTTGTAAGTGTTCACTGGCCCATGTCAAAGAAATGAGTTTTTCACAGAATTTTAAAAATCCTAGCAGTTGATATAATCAAATTATCTTCCATCTCTGCAAAATATTTTTATCCCTGATCAGTATCGATTCAGTTAAATCTTGCCTGCCTCTTGAACTTGACATAGCAGGTTTGAATTTTATCCAGGATTGTCCCTAGCTATAAGGGAAAAGGCGGGTGAAATGAGCTTGTAATTGTAAGACATTCAGACAAGTTATTTTTGGGGAGAAGGGAAACCCTGGATAAAACCCTGAACCAATAAAGTCAGATGATAGATAAGGAACTTGGCCTTTGAATAGCTGTAGTCTTTTGTCACAGTTAAACTGCCCAGGAATAAAACCAGAGTGTAGAAAAAAATTTAAATCTTGTATTTATTCAGTAAGTCAAGACTCGTCCGACTCATCAGGCTTAAGAAAGCTGAACATAGCCAGACTGATAATGATGTACACACGAAAATTTGAAGCGACCGATGCCAGGGAGGCACTACAATATTTTTATTTCCTTAGGTGAGCTACAGAACTCTATACTTAAGAAAATTCATTTATATTTTAAAAAATGGGTGTATAAATTATGTCAATTTGGTTTGATTAAAATTGCTCTTAAAATCTAACAATTTATTATTTTCATCTACAAGTTCACAATTGTCTGTTTTGATTATAAATTTCCAAACGTGTTTTTTTTTTTAATCAGAAATTTGAAAACGCCAAATGGAGAAGATCTTTTCATGTCCTGTGTCAGTGAATTGGTCCTAGAGACTAAAGAGGTAAATTTGTCTTGTGAACTTGAAAGAAATATTTAGGATCTAAAGTTTTTTTTTAAGTGCTTCGCATTGCAGTTATTGATTGATTTAGGTAACCCTTATTGATTGAAATGCTCTTTCAACAAGTTTATTTGTATTCATTTATGCATGATACTTTTTAAATGATGTCCATATAAATCAAATAAAAATAATTACAAAACATTATTATGGTTTTTTGGGACTCCTGGCATAAAAAAAAAATTAATTTTTGGAATTTTTTTAAAATGTAATATCCATTTTTAATTGCCATTTAGTCATGCTAGATAACTACGATATTTCATTTTGAGTTAGGATTTCTCATAGAATTATATACTGGGTACAAATAATATGGTTGTGGATTACTATTCTTCTTTTATTATCTGATCATTTATTTTCTGCTTATTTCTTGCTTTTGTAAGTTTGACATGCTTCTTGGAAGACTGGAAAAAGATGGTTCAAGAAAGGTAAGTCTATGCTAAGTTGAAATTAACTCCATGTAACAAAATGTATACATTTTTTAACTTTATAAATAAGTCTCATACATGACAAACCGTGCTACTTTAAAAATCTAGCTGCTGCTCAAAAAGAGATCAGTCTAACCTACCGTACCCAGCCCAATTAATTATTTCTTCTATTATTTCTGTCACAGCCAGGAGCTATTGACAGGTTCAACCAAGATACACAGAAGATTATTGAAATGGTGGCCAAAGACACAGAGTCTAAAGGTCTCTTCGAAGATGCAGTTCGGCTTTATGATTTGGCTAAGGTAAGATTGAGTTTGAACATGGGTGAATCTTGATTATTTTTTTAAAAACCATTAATCGTTTTAAATTGATTGTTTCCCAAAGCCAAATTTTTTTTAATGTAACTATTTTATTAAATGATATCTTAATATGAATACAGAACCATGAAAAGGCCCTGTGTCTGATTAACAAACTACTGAGTCAGGTTGTAGCCACCGCACCATCGCCACAGTCCACAAGGAACCGACTGTCAACTCTTGCAGTCAACATGGCTGAAAGGTAAGGGTGTCATCTACTATTACAGGCAACATGTCATTACACATTCTTCAAAGCAGCGTGTATCTTTAGACTTAACACTATTTACAGAGGATGAAGAAGAAGAAACTAACTTACAGCAGTCTATTAGATATAGTTTATTAAATTATAGTTCGAACACTATTTCTTATGTTCCCTTACAGGGACCTTACAGTTCATGATTCATGCTTAAATCAACAGTTTTTGCGTGCCAGATTTAGTTTATTTAAATTACATACACACTAATACTTACCATTGCAGTACATATGTCTTTAATGTTTAATAGTCCTACTTGATTAATTGCATTATGAGGAGGTTCACCCAAACTCTATTTACTTCTAATCTATTCTCAGATACACCACTTTGGGGCATGAGGCCACCCAGATGACAACTAAGACATTCTTTCTTCTTCTTGACCTCATCACATTCTTTGATTACTGTCACGCTGGGGAAGTGGCAAAGGCCTTAGAAGTAAGATTTAAAACATCAATGATCTTCTATTTGGCTCTGATTTTTTTCCCCACAGTGATTCAACACAAGTCCACATAACATAGCAACAAGAAAAACAAAATCATGAATGCTCTCCCCCTTCTCTGTGCCCACATGCTATCTTCCTTCTTAAATGGATAAAATTAAAATTCATATTTCAAAGAGTATCTTACACTGCTGATTGAAGTTTTGTCAAAAATGAACGGATGAGAAGAATTAATCAGTTAATTATGCTTATTAAATTTAGTGACGTGAACTCATCTCTCAGCTGACAACGTTATTGTGTTTATTGTCTTCTAACTCCCTGAAAGCCCTGGGTTTAAATATCAATGAAAAGTATTCATAAATTTTATTTTATTTATTTATCTATTACCGTAAACGAAGAAAACACATTTTATAACTCCTTAATGCAGGGGTGTCAAACTCGATCCCTGGGCGGGCCAAAACTCAAATCACATGTAAGGTTGCGGGTCAAACAGGCTAAACATTCAATAAGCGGAAAATTAATCTTTTTTTAATAAATAACATTTATATAAATGAAAACAGAAAAAAATTTAATGATTAAAAATAATTGGCATACCCATTTTGGCTCTTATGCCAATTTGTCAGAGCTGGAAGTTTGGCACATTTTCTTGGCTACAAAAACAAGTAAGTTCGTTTATGTTGGGGGTAACGTTCTGTGTCATTGAGATTCTCATGATGGACTGCAAGTTTTCATCAGTGAGACGACTCCTGTGTGATGTTTTGTTAATCTTCATCCCAGAAAACAGCTTCTCACACATATGTGTGCTACCCAACATGCTCAAGGTTCGAGCCACATGTAGACCAAGCTGGGGCTTAGAATGAAACGAGTGAACTGTGCAGGCCCAACTGTGTCGTATTTTGCCTTTAGTGTCCCATTACACTGCAGCTTCATTAGCTCCATCTGCAAATTTACAGGTGCAGTTTATGTGTCTATGACAAATGGGTTACGAAACTGCTCGAAATTTCATTTCTGTGCTACAAAGTCACTAAAGTGTCATGCGAACTAGAAGCAAAGGGCGCTAAGATTTCAGCAAAGTGTGCATTTGGGAAACACCATAGTGTTGACTTGGATATAATTGTACGCCGGTCAAGATCTCACGGGCCTGATCTGATGTGGCCCGCGGGCCTTGACTTTGACACATGTAATGTAGTGTTGTAATGGATGTAAAAATTTTGTATTAACTTGTAATTATAAATGCATTAAAATTAAGTATCAAACTCAAATGCAGTAAAAATCACATTTATTGCAGGTAATGCAGGGTATAAAAATTTTACCATTTGCCACAGAAGAGGTGGACCACAGAGTCACCAACTTTAAACACTACTCAGATGAAGTAAGTCATGATTCCTTATCAAACAATAATTCAGTGAAGTAACTCATGGTTCCTTATTAAAAAACTTCAGATAAAGTAAGTTATGGTTCATTATCAAACACTACTCAGGTGAAGTAGGTCATTATTCGTTATCTAAATATTTATTTATTGTCTAATCTCCAGATCAGACGATGTCTTCCAGATATCTTGTTGGCAACTATGAACATTCTACTCAGTCAGTACAATAGCATCAGGTTAGTTCCTCCAATCAGTACAATAGCATAAGGTTAGTTCCTCCAGTCAGTACAATAGCATCAGGTTAGTTCCTCCAGTCAGTACAATAGCATCAGGTTAGTTCCTTCTGTCACTACAATAGCATCAGGTTAGTTCCTTCTGTCACTACAATAGCATCAGGTTAGTTCCTCCAGACAATACAATAACATAGGCTTGTTCCTCTAGACAGGTCTTGAAATCTCATATTTTAAAAAAAGTTTGAATAGATCTGCTTGATTGGTGAAATGGTGCACGTGGAGAGAGAGGAGGTACATGAAATTAACTTTTGCTACATAAACCGAACACTTTGTTTTTAGGTGTGAAAAAAAACTGATGGTTTTTTGGGGGGTTTTTTTTTTTGTTGCTTACCATTGACATTTTTATTAAGCTTTAGTTTTTAAAAATGTCAAATATGTCTATACTAGGAACACAAGCTCACAGAGTCCTCTAAGAAGAAGAGGTGCAGAAAATGGAGGCAAAGATACAGTAAGATATTAGTTTATTAGGGAGTGGAATATATATAGGGTAGCATTTGGGAGATCATGGGAGGGGGATACTGTGGGGTAGTAGGTGGTGAAACTAGGGAGAGGAAAGTAAGGGGTAGCATTTGAGGGGTTCTAGGGAGGGGATACTGTGGGGTAGTAGGTGGGGAAACTAGGGAGAGGAAAGTAGGGGGTAGCATTTGAGAGGTCCTAGGGAGGGGTTACTGTGGGGTTGTAGGTGGGGAAACTAGGGAGAGGAAAGCAGGGGGTAGCATTTGAGAGGTCCTAGGGAGGGGATACTGTGGGGTAGTAGGTGGGGAAAGTAGGGGGTAGCATTTGAGGAGTCCTAGGGAGGGGATACTGTGGGGTTGTAGGTGGGGAAAGTAGGGGGTAGCATTTGAGGAGTCCTAGGGAGGGGATACTGTGGGGTTGTAGGTGGGGAAAGTAGGGGGTAGCATTTGAGGAGTCCTAGGGAGGGGATACTGAAGTGTTGAGGGTCTTTCAAGACAGAAACTCGAGGACAACACAAACTATTTTTGACTGAATGTTATTCACATTTTTTTAATGATTTACAGTTGATGGGCAAAGTATGATCCAGTAACTATGAAATTAGAAAAGTGAAGAGAAATATATAAGAAACTTTTCATAATGTGTTCCTCAGTGTTATAAAGAAATCCTTCCTGTAAGCTGATTTTTTAATGATGCTCACTATTTTCAGCACTTGAACTACCTTCGCAGCCAGGCAAGGGCTCTCATCATGTTTGCAGGGATGTTGCCGTACCGCCTACCGGGTGACACAAATGCAAGACTTGTGCAGATTGATGTACTCATGAGCTGAAAGGCAAAATTAATCATATAAATGTAAATAAAATTATCAAGTGCATTTGAACGCTGGAATGTGTTAAACAATTAAATATACCAGTACCACGCTTGTTTTCATATTAAAATTTGTTTAAAAATTTAACAAACTACACTTCCTGTTTTGTTCTACATAAATTCCTGTTTCTATGCAACATCAATCAGTTTTAGTCTTAATGATTGACACAAAGTGATGCAAATATAAAAAATAATATTGTAACTGTTCTGCTAATATATATTTCATTAATGAATTTGAACAGTATTTAATAAATGCTATGATGATAGTATGAATATTTTTAAAAGTCTTATTAGTATTAAGTATTTATTTATTTCATAAGCCTGGGAAGCATTGACGACTTGTGCTACTGTAGGTTTTGTGCTGGTTTTTTTTCTATCATCGGTTAATATTCTATAATGGTGATGTCACAAGGATTAGATGTTCTTATAAAAATGGTAAATGTTTTGATCAACACGGTTTTATATTTTGCTATTGTCTCAGGATATTTCAATTGCAGGTAGTTCCTGGGGTAGTTGTTATCATCTTGTCTTTGGGAACCTCAAAACATGCTATTGTTTGATGAGCAATGTTTGTTCAAAGTCTCAGACCAATGGACCTTTGGAAAGTCCTGTGATGATGACATTTCCATCCCTTGATTTCAATCATCTCATAACAACTATTCGAGTTAAAGCTGTTCAAAGTGTTTGATTAAAAGGGGAAGAAATTAGTCAATTATTGTAATTTTCTGGAAATCGAAAGATATATACACACACAGCACAAGATTCAAAAACTATGTCGTAAACAATGAGGCAATAAAATATCAAAACATTATTAACACCACTTTAATAATTTGTGACATCAGCATGATTATGATAAAAGAACTGATTAAGCCTAGGGTTCCCTAATTTTATTTTTTTTTTAAATTAAAACATGAATAATACTATAATTATAAACTTTCCCTTATTTTTTTATTTCCACAAAACATTATTTTTGCCTTGGCCTAATATAGTATTAGTAGTAATAGTAATTTTATTTTTGGAAATATTCGACAAGTAGATCATCACACAGTTGGGAGTAGTATTAGCAGAGGATTAGTGGTATATCCTACCATGACGGCAAGACTTCGAGCAATATGGAATACTAAGGCTTAACCGGGTGCAGTATTTTTACAGCGGGTCGGGTATTTTTGAGGAACTCCCCTGTTGGTCCAAGTGATACAATTAAAAACTCCCTAAAAAATAAAGTTTTCTTTTATAAATCCTTTGAATTAAATGCATTTTTTATTATTTTATAATAATACCGGATATTCTAATGTCCCACTGGCTTTGACAACGCAGATTAATTTCACCAACTATTTCAGAAAAACAAAAGCAATATTATGCACTTGCGATATTTTTAAGAGTCTCATTTATCTGTAATTTTATTTCTTGAAATTGGGGAACTATTGTATATTTCGGTCTTCTTCCCCTGGAAACTGATTTTTGGGCTGAAAATTTGATAGAGTATTTGTTTGCAACGAGTCTATGTGCCAAGTTTCAGCTCGACAGGTTGACGAGAAGTGAGTCAATTAGCCCTTTGAAGATTTTGCCACATACCCAGACAGAAAGAAAGAAACACGAACAAAAGCAAAATTAATATGGAGGATTTAAAAAGAAGAGTTAAGTTCGCATTTTCTATAATATATTTACCGGCCTCAAACAATAGGCATACATCCAGTCCTACATCCTACCTTCCGGCCTTAAAATAGGCCTATAGATAGTCCTATACCCTACCTGCATGCCTTTAAACAACAGTTCTACATACAATCCTACTGATAGTTTGACACCATAGCCAAGTGGCTCTTTATTGATTAATATAAAAATGTACCTGAATTCACACGTCTCGCATGACAAACTTTTTTTCCACTCAGTACTATTAATATTAATAATATCATATAAAACGTGGAGTTGGGTGGTTTGCGGTTGTGAAAAGAAGCAGGACACACCAGAAGCAAACTATGTATAAGATCGATTTATGAAAGACAGCATGACAGTCTGACTTCTGGTGGACGACCCAGGCCTTAAGCCTAAATTCCTTTCGGCTGAAACCAAAAGTTAACTTTTCTGTTTCGACCAAAACTACGGCGAAAAAGATCATATGACAACTTTCTGCGCCGAAGTTCAGTCAGCCTCACTCCAAAGTTTGGATTGTTACTAAGCAGTCACTGGCTGGTGAGTTGGTAAATACATAACTGGATAAGTAAAGTTAAATGACGTCAAATACTCAAATACAGGTAAATATTGTAAATAAAACAGAATCATTAAATTAAAAGATTTTTTTTTAAAACATGAAATGTAAATGGTGCAATTTTTAGAAGAAAAAATGAATGGCTGATTAATTATAGTAATTGCATCTGTATTTTATATATTAACATTTAATTGAATCTGTATTTTATATATTAACATTTAATTGCATCTGTATTTTATATATTAACAATTAATTGCATCTGTATTTTATATAATAACATTTAATTGCATCTGTATTTTATATATGAACATTTAATTGCATCTGTATTTTATATATTAACATTTAATTGCATCTGTATTTTATATATTAACATTTAATTGCATCTGTATTTTATATATTAACATTTAATTGCATCTGTATTTTATATATTAACATTTAATTGAATCTGTATTTTATATATTAACATTTAATTGCATCTGTATTTTATATATTAACATTTAATTGCATCTGTATTTTATATATTAACATTAAATTGAATCTGTATTTTATATATTAACATTTAATTGCATCTGTATTTTATATAATAACATTTAATTGAATCTGTATTTTATATAATAACATTTAATTGCATCTGTATTTTATATAATAACATTTAATTGCATCTGTATTTTATATATTAACATTTAATTGCATCTGTATTTTATATATTAACATTTAATTGCATCTGTATTTTATATAATAACATTTAATTGAATCTGTATTTTATATAATAACATTTAATTGCATCTGTATTTTATATAATAACATTTAATTGCATCTGTATTTTATATATTAACATTTAATTGCATCTGTATTTTATATATTAACATTTAATTGCATCTGTATTTTATATATTAACATTTAATTGCATCTGTATTTTATATATTAACATTTAATTGCATCTGTATTTTATATATTAACATTTAATTGCATCTGTATTTTATATATTAACATTTAATTGCATCTGTATTTTATATATTAACATTTAATTGCATCTGTATTTTATATATTAACATTTAATTGCATCTGTATTTTATATATTAACATTTAATTGCATCTGTATTTTATATATTAACATTTAATTGCATCTGTATTTTATATATTAACATTTAATTGCATCTGTATTTTATATATTAACATTTAATTGCATCTGTATTTTATATATTAACATTTAATTGCATCTGTTCCTGGGCACCACATCATAACACTTTAATAGTGAATTGCTTAGCCCACCCCCGAGAACATCAAGTACCCTCCCCCACCTGGAGAAAAATGCGTTTCAAATTTTATATGGTAAAAACGAAACTTTATTTTATTATTATTTTTTTTAAATTATAATTTTTTATCAATATTAGGGATAAATGATAGCATTTCACATGATTATTCAAATGAGTGAAGCCCATAAAGCCATAAAATATCGACTCGCTACATTTGATGAACCGAATTATTGAGAAAAATCTGGCTACACCATGACCGTTGGATACTAAATGTAAAAAAAGTAGGCTATCCTGATTAAGTGCTGAGCCTTTACTTCCCGTTTTTAGCACAGGTTTCAGGGTGCTGTTTTTTGTGTGTGTGTTTTTTTTAATCCCTAGTTTAAAGACTTACATTCATGGGCGGAGGAAGGGGTGTGGAGGGGTGGTCTGCCCTGGGCGGCACTTTTTCTTTATAATGAGGGGTGGGATTTTTTGCCATCTGCATAGACTGAAATTGGACCCCCTCACCTACTCATGGACACATAAATCAATGATGTCGTAATTTATTAATTACATTCTAACATACTTGCAAATATATTACAAGGAGGACAGGTAGTTCTGTGAAGGATAAGAAAAAAAATTAAACATGAGTACATAAACAATAATGAAACAATATAAATAAGCAATGGATTTAATGCTAGATTCACTACAAGCTCATAACAGTTATTGTAGTTGAGATGTGATGGCATTTAATTCTGCTAAACAACGGTGCTCTCTGGCCCTTTTTCCCAGGAAAATAAATTGCGAATCACGTCACCAAAATCAATCGTTTTTGCAAGATGAGACTCAATACTGAGTCTTGTCAAATCTACCAGTCGCTGTTGTGATGTACAGGAAGTCGATCTTACTAATCTTAGATAATTTGTTATCTTTAGTTTGCTGAATGAGTGCTGTACAGAGGCGGCAGTGGCAGGAATTGTTAACAGAATATGGAAGCAGACACACGTAGTTGGAGCTTGTATCTTTTCAAGCAATTCAGTAGCTCCAATGGACTCATTGGACCTGCTCCAATGGACTCACTGGGCCCTCTCCAATGGACTCATTGGGCCCTCTCCAATGGACTCACTGGGCCCTCTCCAATGGACTCACTGGGCCCTCTCCAATGGACTCACTGGGCCCTCTCCAATGGACTCACTGGGCCCTCTCCAATGGACTCATTGGGCCCTCTCCAATGGACTCATTGGGCCCTCTCCAATGGACTCATTGGGCCCTCTCCAATGGACTCATTGGGCCCTCTCCAATGGACTCATTGGGCCCTCTCCAATGGACTCATTGGGCCCTCTCCAATGGACTCATTGGGCCCTCTCCAATGGACTCATTGGGCCCTCTCCAATGGACTCATTGGGCCCTCTCCAATGGACTCATTGGGCCCTCTCCAAAATTTGCTTGATGAAAAATGCCTATCCCCATTACAACATCTTGACTGACATCAGCGGAATATTGATCTGCCAGAAAGAAATTTAGGTTTTTCTTTCAGTTCATCTTGAAGCTTCTTAGAATCATGTCACTGCACCATTGAAACAAACAGCGAGTCCACCAATAGTATTGTCCAATATTACAAAGAATACAGACTTTCTGAAATATGTTTCCTCAGGAGATTCATCCATTTCATCTTGTTTAAGCAAATCTGCTGCCCCTGTAGCACCTCTCTCTGTTTTGCGTTTTGCTCGACCCCGAGTTCCAGAGAGTTTTACTTCTAGACACAAACATGCTTAGCTTCGCTCCACATTAG